CAGATTTTTATTGTTTTGATTTCCGATGGAACTTTTATGGGGTCCATTTGATTTCAGCTATATGTTACAATTTGTTTTGTAAGAAGAAAAAAGATTGGGCTTATGTTGATCTTATGGGTTGAGGTAGTGTATCTTTTGTTTCTAGTATCTATTGTAAATAAAGTTTCATTTCATTCTGGGTTTAACTCTATTTCATTACAATAAAGCTAACCTGCAACCATTTTTTGTTTGTTTAGTTGTACTTTAATGTTTCCCTATGCAAAAACTTGCCTTAGTGATTAGTCAGTTAGTGTCTTAAAGTATTAGTTTGTAAGTATCTTGAGGTATTTAGGATATTTTTTTCTCTATTTAAGAGGGCTTTTATTTTGAAATCTAAAGCAGGAAGGGCTAGTTTAAATCTCTCAGTGTGGCATGTAAACAAATACATGTAGAACTTTTTTCTCACCATCCAGTGTTTGTTCTGTTGAGATGGCGACCACAGGGAGCTCCTCGACCGACAGGATTTACTCCAAACTGATAGATGAGGGCAGTTATGACCAGTCTAACCACAGGACAGATGTGCAGCACATCAGTAAGAACATTTAATATTTTTATCCAGCTGTACAGGCCTTTATGGTCCCTGTAAATTCCTGTAAAAAGCATAGTTTCTGTAAACCAATATTTATTATAATACTTTTCAACAGAACTCAACTTTTCTGAAATATTTCTGAAATGCATAATTGCTCATTCTGTTTTCCATGTATTTTCCTTTTTTGTATAGTATTATTAAAAATACTTGTTTGTATTTGCCAGTACCATGCTATATAAACTCAGGGAATGATAACAGTCTAATAAAGACTTTTATTTGATCAGGATCATTTTTTTACTACCGAAATCTGAGTTTTAAATGCCTGCTAATTAGTAAATATTGACAGTTTTTTTTTTTTCATTTCTTTTAGTTTATTTCATATTCAAAATATCCATACTTGCAATAAATTTAGGTTTTTGCTGTAATCCACTCCTAAATTATCATTATGGAGACCTTGTTTTGCCCTGAGAAGTGAAAGTGGGAAGTTTTTGAATGAATAATTAGACTGCAAGATGTCTCTTCGTCATGTTCGCTGTATTTTAAGGTCACTTTTTAGCATTTATTATAAGTTATTACAGATGTTGAATCCAGTTAAATTTATTAATGTGGATATTATATGTAGCTATAGTGGAATGACAGCTTGATTCTCAAATAAGAAGTTTAAAATTCTATATTCCAATGCAATGCTGTGTTTGATTTGTTAGTCATTTTCAATAATTTTTAAATGCAGCTCTGCTAAAATGAAAAAAAGTTGTCTACTTCCTAATTCCTTTTCATTGCGACATAGTAACATTTCCCTTGCTGTGTAAAATATTGTGCTGTTAGCATTTTACATGTTGCAAGACCTTGACATCAGATGGCTGTCACTCTGAATAAGAAAATGTATAGTGGTGTTTTAAACCAGTATGTATTCCTACAGTGGGTGTGAATCAAAACAAGCATTCTCGAGACGCACAGCAATGTTGAACAAATGCCCAGGATAATAGTATAATTCCTGTCAGTACTTTAAACAGTACTTTAAATAGTACTGTAAACACTTTATAATATTGATATAATTCTATTCTTGCAGTTGAACATGAACTTTGGTATTTTCTAGCATAAGGCTGCAAGTAGGCATGGTTTGTAGCACTATTGCCTTGCAGCAGGAAGGGTCTTTCTGCAGGGAATTAGCATGCTCTCCCTGAGCATGTGTGGGTTCTCTCCAGGTGCTTTCCTCCAACAGTCCAAAAACATGACCGTTAGAATGATCAGTTTCTCTTTATTTTCCATGGGTGTGTTTCCCTGTGAGGAACTTGTTACCTATTAAGGGTGTATTCCGGCTATGGACTGTTTGAAATAGGCACCAAACCCATGACCCTGAAAAACAAGCAGCACAAGATGGATGGATCAGGAAGCAACAGGCGTATCACATGTCATATCTCAGCAATCATTGAGCGGTGTATGTATATAATTAAATATGACTCATTAGCATTTCTCTTCAGTAGCTTTTATTTAAGCTACATATATGCATTAGGCTTATTTTAATGATTGATTTTAATTGAGCAGAAAAGATCCTTTGGACTACTGATTGTGTGCTGACACCCAGCACACAACTACTGCTCCAAAACGAATAAAGTCAGGGAGCATGACCATCTGATGAATGATACGGAACTGCTAAAAAAAGCCTGACCCAATGAGACAAATAAATAAAAAAGATAGAAAAAAAGGTGGGCACTGGGTTGTTTTTTGTTTTTTTGCTTTATTGTCCTGTATATCCCACTGATGATTGAATGTGTTAGTAACATTTGCTTCATCTGTCAGTGTTCAAATTATTATCCATGATCCAGGAAAACCAAAGTACGGTACATTTTTTTTGCATTTTTTTTCTTCAAAGGTAAAATACTCACCTAATTTCAGCTTTGTAATATATATTCTTTACTATGTTTTAGGTTAAAGGTCTTTATATTTCTTAAGTTCTTTATTGACCAAAGTTTTTTTTTATTTTTTTTATTTGCTTTTCTTCAGATTACCCAGTGTCCCCAGTCAGAAACCCATGGCTGAGTGGCCCTGGTCCCTACCGCTTTGCTACCATCTGCCTGGCTGCACTCTCTGCTATCCTCCTCATCTCCATCATAGCTGTCACTGCCCGCAGTGAGTACACACAATCCACAATAGCTAACATTTCTTTCGTATACCATGTAAACACTGATTCTGTCACATACCACCAATAATAGTTGTTTAATGCATTGACAGTTTACAATTGTGTTTAGCCCTATAGTTCTGGACTGTGTAAGGTTTATTTTAATCTATACTGTCGGTAATTATTTTTGGTCAGATCACTGAAGTACTCATGTGTATATTTTACAGGTCTATATTCACATTAAGGAAAAAAAAGTTACATTTTCCCCCCCTTAGTAGAATAACGATTGAGTTAGAAACCTTGGATCTGTTCCCTTGAGGCCAGTATGAAAAAAAAAATTAAATAAAAAAAAATAAATGTTTTTGAAGTAAAAAAAAAACACATGTTCGACCAGACTTTTGTGCTTAAAATAATAATTATGTGCTCAATTTTATCCTCAGATAAAAACAAATCTGCGAGTGGTGTGGAAGCAACTGCAGAGATGCAGAGGCAGAATGCAAATATCTCGGCCGTGATGCAAAAGCTACAGAGTGAGAATAAACAACAGCAGAAAGAGAGAGATGAACTTCAGAAAGAGAGAGATGCACTTCAGAAAGAGAGAGATGCACTTCAGAAAGAGAGAGATGCACTTCAGAAAGAGAAGGACGAACTACAGGCCAAACTTGACTCCATATTGACAACCAAAGGTAAAATTCTGTTTTAAATGCTGCATGATGTTTTTACAGATTTATTAACTACGAACCTGGTAACACATAGAGCTCCTGGCATTTTCTCCCTTCTTTTATTGGCATCTGATTGTTGAGTTTCTTGCCTGAGTTTTATTACGGAAAGTTACGATAAATGTAGCCGTATGCTCACAGGCACCCCAAAATGTTCCATGCAGTCTAAATGTCTAAGACTGTCATTCTGAGCTTTGGGTTTCCTTAGGGGAATAAGTATTCTTTTGAAAGTGTTATGGTGCATAACTAAGGCAATCAGATAAGGCATTAAGATTTTATCATCTCATCAGTTATTTTATTCCTTGTAAAGTGAGGACAATAAACTCAAAGTTTAAACACACTAGAAAAGAAATGAACAATAAAGCCAACCTTCTTTTCCATATCAGCTATCCCTCTTCTTATCGTGGTGACTGTCAGGTTCCTGATCCTTTAAAGATCATGTTTGAATAGAATAAAAAAACAAGCTCTATTGTCCCACAATGGGGAAATTGTGGCATTAAAGCAGCAAATTTTATAGTAGAGGTGGTCAAGCAATGTGTACCTTAGAAAAGTGCAAAAAAATAACAGATAAAAAAATAAAACAAATAGAGTATTGTACTGTACAGTGTTTTTACAACAAATACTCTGTATATGGAGAAAATCAATAACAGCTATGGACATTTTTCCAATAACACCAGAGATGTGCAAAAAAAATGACAGCAGCATGTTTAACTGACTAAGACAGAAACTGCGAAATCAGCATGAATGTAGCAACTTATTGAGGTTGTTAGGAACAGTGGTGCTTATAAAGTCTTTCAGCAGGTGGGAGGAAGGATCTGTGATAACGCAACCTGGTGCATTTAGGGTGCAGCATGAAGCTGTTGCAGAGCTTTCCAGTTCTTAAACAGCTTCATGCATAAGGTGGGAAACAGTATCCAACAGAGACACGTGTGGAGCAGACACTGTCCATACAGGTCTGTTTTGTTTTCTTGTGCGTCTAATTATCTAAAAATGAGAATAAAAAATCCACCAGAATCAGAAAACCGTTAAGTGCCAAGTAATGTTTTACAGGTATTTGTCTTCATGATAAAGTGCAATATACCGTAATAAACAATTGCAACTTGTATAGAAAAAGCACCATGGGAGATATTAAACAAAAACACTATGGAGTTAGACTAAAAATGATGCTTATACATGTGCTTTGATATTTTTCTTTGTTTTGTAAATGTCAGTAGAGGACCCATTAATATTTATGTAGCTACTAGTAAACAGTTACAGTTGAAGCTGTTTTTGTGGCAGGACATTGTATTCCTAATGGACTGCAGCTTCCCTCAGAGGAGGAAGTGTCTGAAACAGTTTGTGTCCAGGTTGGATGGGGTCGACAAGATCTTCCTTACTTCCCTAGAGGCACCATTTACCCCCCTCTGCAGAGTGAATGATACGCTGTAGATGGTAATGGAGCAGAGGATGCACTCAGGCATGGCAGAGTAGAAGTGCACCATTATTGTTTTTGGCAGACTAATATTTAGCTGCTTCAGCAAATACATCCTCTGCTCTGCCTTTTTGGTCAGAGAAGTAATGTTCTTTTCCCACCTGAGGTTCTGAGGGATGTTGGTGCTCAGGAAGCTGGAGGATTGGTCATTTGGTTGCACTGATTTGAGGGAATGGACAGTTTGTATTCTTCCCTAAATCTACAACCATCTCCAATGTTTTCAGAGCATTGAGCTCTTAGACTTTTCTCGATGCACCAGGCCGCACTCAGCCCCACAGAGATTAGCATAATGAGGATGTTGTCATCTCCAAAGTTTTTCAACAAAAGGCATTTCTTTCTGCAAAGAGTAACGTATAATACATTTTCCATTGTTGTTTTTACAGTAAGTTCCACAATATGTTGGGTTTACTTTTCAATTTCAGTTTATTTCAATTTCAATTTATCTTTATTGTCATTGTCACAAAAACAACAAAATTTAAAAAAAAAAGTGCCATCGATCAGTGCATATGCTTAAAAAAACAAAAACAAAAATCACTGTCACCACCATTTACACATAATATAAGAAATAAATAACAATAACTGAAACAAAACAACTAATAAGAATAGTACATTCTCACACACATCATCCATGATGATTAATGGTTATTTTTGGTTGCATTTAGTTTTGTTATTGCTGTCGGGTAAAAACTGTCTCTAAGGCGGTTGGTTCTTGGTTTGATTGCTTTTGTGAATTTCTAATATATTTGGTTCTACAATTGTTGGTACTTATGCTTTCTAAGCATATTTTTGCAATATATTATCTTTCATATACTAGATGATGGAACATCATCAACATCATCATCATTTATTCAAGACGCAGGAAGGGTCCATAGAAAAAAGGAATAAAAAGAGAGTAACAAACGTATACAAAATTATAAATAGGATGAAAAATACTAGCAATCTGCTGGTTTTCAGTTGATTGAAAACTAATGGCTTGATTAAAATGTCTCTGTAAAGCCTTGAGATGATGTATATGGTGGTATGGCGCTATATAAATAGATTTTAATTTCTTTACATGTTCTGTTTTTGGACTCTAGCCATTACACCCACACCAAGATCAACTGCAGTCCCAATCGTCTGCCCTACAAACTGGCATCTCTTCGAAAACAGCTGTTACCTCATTACCGCACAGAACAGGCAAAGTTGGAGTGGGAGCAACAGATACTGCCAGACCCAAGGAGCTCACCTGGCCATTATCCTCACAGCTGAGGAGCAGGTAAAGTGATTAACAGTGGCTTCACCTATGGCTGCAGCATCTGGGTTATTTTGATTCAATTCTGTATGAAAAAAGTTCATAAGCCGACTTATTTTCTTGACAAGACAACTTGAAAATTTGGTATACTGTATAAGTCATTTTCTGATAAAGTGTCCAAATCCAATACATTTAAGGTAACACAGTCTGCAGCATCTGTTTCTGTATGAAAGAGATATTTTTTTTGTTTGTTTGTGTGTAAAACAGTAACAATGTTCTGCTCCCTTTGCTTAGTTAGGTTATGAAGGTTATATTGTCTTTTAAAAAAAAACTATTAATCTAAAACATTAATCAGAAAAGTTGATAAAATGTCCAGTTTTCTCCAATTTAAAACTGTTTTATTTATTTATTTATTTATTTGTTTATTTATTTATTTTTTATTTATTTATTTATTTATTTATTTATTTATTTATTTATTTATTTATTTATTTATTTTCTTGCTCAAATAGCTTTAGCATTTGTTTTTAAATATAAATATTAAATATATTTATTTAAGCAGAGATGTGCCCTTAAGTACAAGTGTTCCCTTCTATCCAAGTATTTTTTTATTTTTTTTCATATGGAAATCATATTTTAATCATATTGTTAAGCTTACAAATGCACACTGTGTAATAAAAACTTTTCTTTGCTATTCATATTGTTGATATTCATATTATTTTGGGGTTTTTCCTCTTAGACCTTTCTGTGGAATCTGCTTCCCAGAGGCCACTGGAACTCCTTCTGGTTTGGAATAACTGACGGAGAAACAGAGGATGAGTGGAAATGGGTCGACGGTACTCCGGTAGAAGGAGGGTAGGTTTCTCATCTTTTTCCAAATACCGGTAAACAAAAAAACTGCAAAATATTCTTGAAAAGAAATTGTCGGGAGATCAATAAGGATTGTTTTTTCTTTTCAGGATTCGTAACTTTATTCATTGTGTATTCTGCTAAATATTCAATGATGTATAATTCAGTTTATTCCATTGGCATTTTTTACATGAGAGCACCCTAAACAGGGTGCTCATAGATAGGCATCTGCTGTGTCTGTCCAGTTTCCTGGCTGCAGTTGGTTTAGCTGTTAAGGTAAACAAAGATTTAGAAGCAAACTACATGTCAGTGGACTTTTAACTTTATTTAAGCAGTTACCTGTGTCATCCTAGGACACATTTCCTCATCCTTATTGGACTAATCAGCAGTTTTTTCAACAGTAGAAACATATATGTCCTATATAATTTGTTACGGGCTTCATAAATCGGGAGATTGCTACAAGTTAATAGTTAATAGCCCCTCTGCCTTGAGAATATGTTATTATCAAAAACAACTTTAACTGTCATATGAGTGAAGAACATCCTGCATTTTATTGTGACTTCACCAAATGAACCAACTTTCTAAGCACTTCTACATAAAGTGGTCCATTAGATGTGTTATTAACCATTTAAAATTTTTAAACCTAACATCTCAAAAGGTATTCATCTATTATTGAAATCATATAGAATTGCATGTTGTCATTTTAATAAATTCAAACACTTTTAACTAGTCTTTACTCTTTATCTTTTAATGCTGATGGTCAGTTTCAATGTTCAGATAAAGGGAAAAAAGAGATTGATTAGATTTGGGGATTATTTATTTGATAATTTGATAAACGTGCTTAACTAACAGTTTAGTTTGTGCTTTTTTGTGGGTTGTTGCTTTTAACCTTTCAATTTGTTACCCATTGGGTAAGAAAGTTAAAGAAAACAACCACAATACCGTTTTTAACTGCTACAAATAACTTCTAATCTGCCTTTTTTATTCAGGTAGGGTAATTTTCCTTTTCTTCACTCATTTTGTTATGGTCTGATTTATTTATATATATATATATATATACATATAATTTTTTTTTTCTTTTTTTTTTCCAGTGTTCTCTAAATTCTTCTCCATTTTGTTACCAATTTTGTGCTCTTCCCTTTTTATTCTCTATTCTTTCACAATATTTGCCTACTTGGCATATTTTCTAAGAATCATCTGACTTCCCTTCCTCATTTTGAATGTACTGTTGTGTGAAAGATATATATATATATTTCTTATTCCTCAATCTTTACCTACATTCTTGATCTTCCTCTTTTTTCACTTAAATATTCATCCATTTACTATACATCTTTCTGCTCTGTTTTTATGCTGACAGCACCATTACCGTATATATTTTGTGTGTGGGGGGTGGAAGGAATGGATGTTGTTCCTTCCACGAGTTCTGCATGTTCTTCTTTCCACAAACCCTGAGCTCAAACAAGAAAGAGCTGCTGAAAAAATACCTCCAAGTACTACCACGGATTTTCCGTTAGATTTTGGTCTTTACTCTGACTGGACTGTTCCATTTTAGCTTCTGTTAAAGTTAAGAGTCACTGCTTTGCTGGAATGTGATCTTGCAACCCAGTCTGTACACTTTTTGGCTTTCAAGCAGGCTTTCATCAAGGATTAAACTGAATAAAGCACCAACAATCTTCCCATCATCTCTTAACCTGTCACCCCTAAAACAAAATTCTCACTGCTAATTTCTCATTAGGCTTTGTGTCTTCAGGCTATTCAGTGTTTCTGTCACACACATAAATATAAAACTTGCCATATAGCACAAAGGCCAGATTTGTGAAGCTGTGATTATTCCATCTGAGTTGTGGATCTCTACAGCTCTTTTAGAGCTTATATTGGTCTCTCAGCTTCTTTCCTGATCATTGCTAACCTGATCTGATCTGTCAGTTTAGGTTGATGCTCCTTTTCCTACAGGTTGATAATTGTGCGACATCCACGTGATTTCAAGTCAGTGATGGATTAATCAGACTTGTCTTGGATATTTAGGGCATGTATATTGGTGTGAAAAATAAAAAAATAAAAAGTAGAAAAACATCAAGTTTTAAGAATTGTACTGTATAGTGTAAAACTGCACATGTTTCTAGTGTCATTAAGAACATTTCTAATCTTTGTCTTTCTTCATAAAAGTTTCTGGGAGGAAAATGAGCCCAATAACCACATCAATGAGGACTGTGGTTACATTGTGAAGACACAGGTGTTGGAACGTGTGGCGACAAAGAGCTGGTATGATGCCCCCTGCAACATGCCTTTGCCCTTCATTTGTGAGAAGGAGATGCGCAGCACCTCACAATAGTGACACTTCACCAGGACTGGTCGAAAAGCAACACTTTAAGCCAGCTGATTGTTTGTGCTTGAAAAAAAAGTCGTCCATCATAGATGCTCAGAAACTGGACGTTTCACATATTGGTTTGTATGTGTACTTTAATTATCTCTGACATAAAGGTCACTGTCCACACTGCAAAAAATGCAAATATAAATAAGTCATTTTTCTTAAAATAAGTGCATTTTTTCTTGAACTGAGGTG